ACTGTTCTGGGCAGAGCAGTGCAGCCAGGCCAGCTCTGCTGCCATGGGGCTCAGGGCTGGAGCTCAGGACCGATCTCCCCACTGCAGCAGTGCCAGGGTGGCCTGACTGCCCACCCAGGTCTCTGACCAGGGTCTCAGGCTGGTTTTGCAGCTCCTGCTGAGGCCAGCACTGCTCCAGCCATGTTGCTGGCTGCCTCCAAGCTGTCCCTGTGGAAGCTAGCTTGTGTTTTTCTACATTACAGGGCAGCAGCAAAAGCAAGACTACAGTGTAGACATACCTTGTATCTCTCAGACCCCAAGTGCAACTTTATTTAGACAGACACAAAAAAAAAAATGCAAGTAGGTAAATAAAAACCAAATTTTCTGGGTGATTTTGGAGAGAGCTGCCTCGAGGGTCCGTGTTTCCTCACATGCACTCAACTAGGATACCTTCATTTTGCCTTTCTCAGGAGCTGCTTCATGGATGAGTGGCTGCTCATCCCCGTTCACCGACAGCATCCTCTTCTCTGGCGGCAGCTCCTCGGGCTGGCGAGCGATCAGCAGGCGGCAGGTGAGCAGGATCCCAAAGACCAAGGCGTGGGCATAACGCTTGAGGGGGTCCCCCACGAGCTGGTGGAAAAAGAGCACAGCCAGCACGAGGAGGAGGAGCAGGAAGTTGGCCACGTCCTTGGGGCGACCAGGCACCAGTGTCATGACAATGCCGCACGCCACTTCCAGGGCGCCGATGCTCTTGCGGAGGAGGATGGAGCTGACTCCCATCTTCTTGAGCATGGGCAGGGCCCGCACGTAGCTTTTGTATGCTCGTTTCTGGAATCAAGCAGCCAAGGACATCATGTGAGAAAGTGAAGGCAAAGGTGACTTCCATAGAAACAGATTGATGTGCAACATGACCTAAAAATTATTTCAGTTGTCACAGACCCCTCTGGCACAATACCCAATCTGTAAAGCTTCGGTTTGGGGGTGTATTAAATTATCAATCTGCAATTTCCCCTTTCTAAGCTGTTGTCTCCTCGCTGGAAAACAGTTCAGCAACCTCTCATCCATCTTTGGAGCTACAGCCAGGCCAGGTGTACCTTACCCTGGAATCTGAGGTTCAGATTGCTGGATTTAGCAGTGCAGAACCATGTTGTTAAAACAAACAAACCTCTTTCTAAGAGTACCTTTTGCTTTAAAATTGGCTAATTCACCCAATCCCTGCAAAGCCAAAGCACAGGAAGTAAATACAAGTCTCTTTCTACTCCAAAGCAACTTACAACATCCCAAAGCAACTTACAGTATTCCCAAGCAGCTTACAGTAGTTATAGGCAGTGCAGGCTTAGGGTGGTACTAAACATCAAAGCTGAGATTCACCAGTCCTATCCTGTGCTTACATACCTTTATGATCCTTTCTTTCCTCAGGTGAAAGCAAGCTGACATTTGACATTATTTGCTCCCTGGTTTATGCTGGATTTAGAAGCAGTGTAAGTTGCAAGACAGCCTGCTTACACAGCTGCCTCATTCTTTTGGGGAAAGAAACAACCTTTGTCCTTACACATGTCCAGGTTCTTGCATTTGAACATTAGGTGTCGGTGGCCCTACTGTTTTGTTTGGGGTTTTTTCTCTTTTTGTTTTGCAATCAAGTATTTCCTTTTATAGATATATATTTTAATAAAGCTTCTATATTCTGCATGACACCAAAATTATTTCCACTTTTACTAGAGTATAATAACCCTGAAGACATTATTGACATTGTGTTCTCTGTTTTCTAATCAGCATGAGGGAAATGGAAGCCAAATCCCAGGTACAAGATTGTTCAGCTCTCACAGGCACTGATCAGACTCTGGATTTACTTCCATACAATTTTGGAAATCTACATTACAGGCATACAGAACTTTCCAGCGTCTCCATAGAGTTTGATGCTTCCTTCTGAGAGGCTCTGATGCTTCACAGGTGGTTAAAAAATATCCAGCATTGTCATATTTGCTACAAAATAATTGAAGATATCATGACACATTTACTCCAAGTGTTTGCATTGTAAGGATGTATTTTAAACCATCAGTGACTAAAACCTCAGAGCAGAGTATTTTTAAACAGTAGTGAAAAACACACTTTTAAGAAATGTACTATAAGCATGTCCTAGAGTACTCTGGTATTTTAGGTATTTTAATAGGCAAGCTAATGTGTTTATTGCTGAATGAAAAACTACAAGTTTGGTATTTTAGGTAGATAACAGAGGTTCTTTGTTTTCTGGGGGCAAAAAGCCATCCTTATGGATTAGCAAGGTCAGGTTTTTCCTAATTGTCTGCATGACCTGGCAGACCACCACAGTATGTAGCACAGCAAAGGCAGGAGAGCCGAATGAGCCATGAATATGTAACAATATGGACTATGAAAAATAATGACACTGTGTAACAGCTGCTTTATAAAACCGGAGATCATTCCTACCTGTAGGCCTGACTCGTGATAAAGCAGAAGGGGACACAGATGCAAAATATTTTACAGAGCAAGCATTTTGCAATGCTCCTAAAGCCTCTGCTTTTTTCTTTTCTTTTTTTTTTTTTTTTCTGTAGCAGAAGCTTAAGAGCTTTGTTTTCTAGGGGTTTTACCTCATGTGTCTCTTGCCCGTGAGTTACTTCTTGGGGATTTTCCTCTGTGAGATCCCTGTGCTGGGCTGCAGACTAGGCACTGCCATTCAGATGTTATTTGAGAGCTAAGGAAAAGCAGCTGGGCAGGTGGAGCAAAGGGAGAGAGAACAGAATGTGCTGGAAACTTCTAGCACTATATTTTTAGGGGCACAAAAATTATACTAATCTTTTCAAACACCACAATAAATAACTGGGGAAGCGGGGGGTGGGGGGGGGCAGGAGAATAAATGAACACAGATGAGGAAGCAAAATGTGGCAGCCAGTCTCCCACCTGCCTGCAGCTCACAGCTGGCAGTGCTCTGCAGCAGGGCTGGCCCTGAGCAGAGAGGAGCATAAACCAGTTCACCAGGTGAGAAATGCACACAATAACTTCTCCATCTTCTCCTCACCCCCTTCCTCTTAGGCAAGAGGGGGAGAGGCTCATTCCCCAGGCCAAAGAGAATAAGAAGACTAATAATAATACCTTCCTCTGCAAGCTAAGAATTTCAAAGCATTTCACAATCATTAATTAATCCCTGCATAAGTCTGGTGAGGTAGGGACAGTCAAGTCAGTATCATTATCCTTGCTTTAAAGCATCGAGTTTTGAGAATCAACATCTGCCAGAGCAGGCATCTGCTTTTCCTACCCCCATCCAGTGGATAGATTTCCCCTGAGGGATCAGCTGTCCCTGCCTGCTGCATGTCTGGCACTTCTGCAGGCCTTGCTTTTAGAGACCCTTGTGACCCCAGCTTCTTTAGGCTGTGTGTGCTGTGCCACCCCATCCTCCTTGCCTCCCCTCCCCATCCTTATCCACCAGAGGTTTCTCCGTGGATAGGCTCAGCTGGAGCCCAGGCGAGGGCTGCCAGGATATCCTGGGCACTGCGTATTATTGGCTTCTCTCCATGTCTGTCACGTAAGGAGTCAGATCAGCTTCTTCTCTCTCCTGCCCCTCGCTCGGGGCTCCAGGGCAGTCACCCCCAGCGTGCCCCAGTGCTCCTGCGGCAAGAGCCCTAAAGCACCTCCCTTCGTGCTGCCCGACTCACCATCTCATTGTAGGCATCCCTGCTGAGCCGGGGGGTCAGTTTGATGGTCCCCATAAAGACGAAGAAGAGCCCCAGGGCCACCGAGAGGGCGACGATGGTGATGGTCCTGGGAGATGCCATAGAGCCGCAGGGATCCGGTCCTAGCGAGGCCTTGTGGCTCTGGCTGCCAGCCCGGGTGGGAGGGAGTCCGTCACCATTGAAGGCTGTAGGAATAAAGCTGCAGAGGCAGGAGGATGACAGCGGGAGGGGATTCAGCCTCCTCCACTCAGCAACCCCTGGGTCCTAAAGCCCTGCAGCCAGAGCCACTCAGCTCCAGCACTGGAGCGCCGAGAGGAGCTCATCCTCTTGTTACCTTGCGTGTTCCATAAATCGCCCACAGAAAGCCGAAACTGAGTCAATTATAGGGACGTGGGATGGCAGCCAAAGACAGAGCACACTTACTCATTAGTGAGGAAACAAGGACGTTAGCAGAGGGCACAGGAGTAACGTGCTGTGGAGGGAAAGTGGGCAGGGGTCTCTTGTACACAGACAGCTTTCAGTTTCAGATATTCAGATACTCATAAATAGCGAACGACATATTGTGTTTATTTGCACCAGGAAAGAAAAATAAATGTTTTGTCCCTGTGGCTCTTCTGGAACCTGATGCTCAAAAGGGAAGGTGAGGCCACTTGTGTCATCCGCCCCCATTGCAGGTAAAACCCATCCTGCATGTTCAGCTATCCAGAGGCTAGGGGAAAGGTTTTAAGATCCTCTGGTATATTCTGATTTAAAGTCATTGTCTCCCCTGCAATTAATGCAACAAATTTCCTTTTGACCAAAACCTGGCAGAAATTTATTCAGATCTCGCAGCAAGAAACCAAGGTATAATTACATGAAACAGAACTGCTGGAATATTGCATCCTTTGGTATAAAATGAAAACAAGAGGCTGCAACTGTGTGTAAAAACCTACAATCATGGGATAGTGCAAGAGTGATACTTCCTATGCTTGTCAGGAACCTTATCATCACTCCCTTTATGGTGTAGTCATTCTCAAGTCCTAAACACATGTGTTTTGAGCTCCCATAGCTTGAGAACTGGTTGTTGTTATTATTCAAAGCTGAGGACTGGAGTTAAAAGTCTGAAAAATACAGGCAACTCTCACACTTTCCTTGAGAATTTATCCGCCTTGATTCAAAACAGTCTGGGACTCACACAACACAAGGGAACTCTGCTCACTCAGACTTCCCTCCCCATTACAGCAGCTCCATCTCTGGAAGAGCTGGAGAAATATAACACTGTGAACAGGACAGGACACATACAAAACACAAGAAAAAAATTTAATTAGCTATTGCAGAACATCCTGAAGAGGAAAATATTGCAGCTGATTTTTTCACAGGGCACTTCCTATTTAGGCATCAGCAATTATTACTGGAGAAGGGGGAGACAGATGGGGAAAGAGAGACACTGAAATCTGTTCTTTTTATTTTGTTTTATAGAAAAATCTCATTGCCAAAGCTGGTGCCTCCTCCAAGCAGGGACACCAACAAAGGAATCCCTGGGCTTTCATACTCTTCTATATCCTAAATCTCCCACCCGTTGCACAACAGTTCTGACGAGTGGAAAATTAGTCTGGTGTCTTCTCACTTCATGAATTTGTGCACAGTCTGTGGGGGAGGAGCCACCCACACCCAGCCAGCGCTGGAAGGCCCGTGACCTTTGTTAGGCACAAGGTCAGCACCTACTCAAGGCTCCTTACCTGGGGCTCCAGCGATTTCCCACTATCCAGAGCACAATTTGCAGCTCAATCACTGAGCTACATATTCCTCAACACAGGGAGAGACTCTTTCCCAGGCTGCTTAACCAGCAGCCCAAGTTGCAGGGGAAGGAAGGGTGATGAAATGCTACAGAGAACCTTTTCACCCCAGAAATCCAAGTAGTTCTTTGCAGAACAGTGTTGCTAGGCAACCCAAAGTACAAGAAAAAACAAAAATATTTATTTTTATACAACTTCACAGAAAATAAGTTAAAATCCTAACTACATTAGGTCTTCAGGACAGGAAGAGGTTGCTTCCCAAGCTCTCAGAGCTCATTCCTGCCTCCTCAGCGGGTAAAGAGCAGCACCAGCTCACAATGAACAGTGTGAGGAAACATATCAAAAGGAATAGCCAACACAGGGGCAAATGGCTCCCCTGCCAGCTTCTTCTGTGGGTCAGGTGGGCAGCACAGCCTGTGGAAAGCAAAGAGCATCCTTTAGACCTGTAGCAGAAGCCTTCCCACCACTGGTATCACAATCCAAGGGGGATCCACAAAGGAGGTATTGTGTGTTTGACTAACATTCCTTGGAGTCTGAAGCTGACACTGCCTGAGGTGGAGAACCATCAATACTGAATCCCAAACCAGCTCTGAAAACCTCAAGGACAAGCTGAACAGTCAGTGGCAAGTTTAAAGCTCCTTTCCTCAGAAGTCATCCCAGCTGAAAGACACTCTGTTTTCAGTTTTGGACTGCCCTTATGGCTGCCTGCAGACAGATTTATCACCTGGGTCTACCCCAGCTAAAGGCTGACCACATAAAGCTACATGATTAACCCCTAAGCAGGTGACAAATCCCCTTGGCTCCACTTTCTTGGTGAGGGGCCAACCTCCCTGCAGTGAACCCGATGGACTCTGTATCTCACATCCAGATGTGCTTTTTTTCTCAGAAGGATGCACGATGTCATTGTGCCATGTTTGAATTATTTTCTATTCCTCACTGATGCCTTGTCTGGACTTAACAGGGTCTGCAACCGAGATCAACAGAAAGGAGGAGAGTGCTCACTCAAGGAAGTTCCTCATGGCTTCACCCTCTGGCTTGCAGGAGATGTAGAGCAGCCTGCGGATGGACCTGCAGTTCCGGATGGCTCGTACAACCCTGTAATCTGAAAAAACAGACAGCCTGCTTTCCCACCACCACCCTGAGCTCTCCAGAAGTAATGACTGAACAGCATCACAGAATTGTCAAAAATACAGATGCATATTTTGCCATGTTCTGTCTTGGAGTCTCTCAGGAGACCACAGGTGTGACCCACACTCCTGACAGCTTAGACAATTTGGCAGGCAGGGAGCCAATGAGAGAAGCCAATTGCAGAGAGCAATGGGAGAAGTCCCTCTGCTTCCCAGGGAGATGGAGAATGAGAGAAAAAATGTTACTCAATTAAGCAAAGGCATATAAAATCTTCCACACACACTTGTGAGAGTGCATCTGAGTTCCCAGTATCCACTCCAGGGAAGACCACTAAGACAATTTGAGGGCTGGGGAAGAGAATGTAAGCAAGGATCCATTTGCTATCTTCAGGGATGTCATGGGGGATTACAGATAACTGAGAACCTTCTCAGAGGGGCATGAGAAGAGGATGAGAAGTATTAGATGTATGGCAGCAAGGGAAAATTATGATTAAAAATATTAGGGAAAACATTTTCAGGAGAGGAGATACCCCCTGGACACATTCAAACCTCAGCTAGGCTTTATATCCCTATGCAACTTTATAAAACTCTGAAGTTTGCCTTGCTATAGTTGAGAGATTGCAGCACCAACCTCCAGAGGTCCCTTCTCTCTTAAATAATTGTGTGAGCCTTTGTGAAATTGTGTGAAAGATGGAAAAAAGATTAGAGCTAAAGAGAAAGCACAATGAAGGTGCCGAAAACAGCAGACTTTATGGGATTTTAGCTGCTGTCAGTGACAAGAAATGAGAGACTAAGCAAAGAAAGGGTTTGGAGCCAGTATAACAGGTCTCACAGAACTTGTTCAGAACTCTCTGTTTACAAGATGAAAATAAATAGCATTTTCTCTCACGTAGGCCAGCCCGAGAAGGGTTCACCACAGCAACAAGCGGTCGGGCATCCTCCCACGATGCCAAGAGCTGTGGTAACACAGCCTCTGCCTTTCCACTGTGAAACTCACAGTTTGAGATCCCTGTGAAACAAAAAAGCAACCACATGAACTGAATCTCACCAAGAGTTAGGTGTAACATGAACCACCCTGTGCTGTGTGAAGGTAACTGGTGAGGGTCCCTCTGCTCACTTCTACTCCGATTTTTCAGCATTTAGTTTGAAACTTTTTGCCACAGCAAGTTTGAACTCACCATTGAATGCTGCATTCCACTGAGCATCCTCTATTGCCTTCTCCACCACCTCAACACCAATAACCTTGGACACCTGGTGAGCCAGAGAGAGACCAATTGTGCCTGGAAACACAGGAAACAAAAATACTCCATACAGTCATGCTGAAGAAACAGGCCTTAACATAGTGATGATCAGCTCTGGAATGCAAAGCTCTGGGAGCCCAGGAACCCACCTGTTCCACAGCAGATGTCAAGGAGAACAGTGTCCCCTGTAGCCTGGCAGAGCTCCCCGACTGCCTGGTACAGAACTTCTGCTCCAGCTGTGTTGACTTGGAAAAAGGCATCTGGAGAGATGCGAAACTTCAGGCCGAGCAGTTCTTCAAAGATGTGTGGTGCTCCGTGGAGGAGCTGGTAGGGGGACTGCTCGTGGGAGCAGCGTGTCATGGTGCTGGCAGATCACACAAAAAACAGCTGTTAGAAGGCAGCAGAGAGGAGCTGGTTTCCATTCCCAGGGTGCTCATGGGCAGCAAAAGATGGTTCTTCCCCCCAGCGACTTATATTTCATATGAGCCTTTCAACAAGATTAAAGCATTTTGATTCTTTGAAAGGGATCTGTGACTTGCACAGCCTAAATTTCATTAAAAGGATCAAAATGACTTAGCAGAAGGCAGCATTCCTCGGGCCTATTCCCCAGTTTTGCTGCTAATGTGATTTACTGTCTTGGGATAGAAACTGGAAGTTTCTTCTTTAAGTTTCCCAGACGCATAATTCCCATGAGGTAGAACCATAGAGTGTTCAAATAAGTCTGGAAAAATAAAAGATGGGGTCATCTTAAAGACACATCTCCAAGAGGGATCCAAACATCTGTCATTCTCTTCCAGCACTCCCTGAACTGGTGGGATTTGAATTTGGTCAGAAAGCGGGTAGAAGAAGGAGGTGGCTGTGTTTCCTTGTCAAGACATTTACCTCTCTTGGAAATAAAGTGAAGTCAAGGCACAGACTGCTCCAGGCCCACATGTGAAGAACTCCTTCAGCAATGCTTTCTGAGTAGCCAGTGCCTCCTGTCAAGAGTAAGAAAGGAAAAGCTGCCTCTTTGGGTAACCTGATTAGAGCTCTCTCCCCAGCAACACACCCAGCAGGCTCAGCTCAGCCAGGTATCTGCTGTGCCTCTTGCCCTGTCCTCCATGTGCTCACCTGGCCCAGCTGCTGGGGGTGGAAGGTGATGGTAGCCATGGTGTGGCCACAGCTGGTGGTACGAACCACGAGCTCTCGCCAGTGTCCACCTTCATGGAAGAGGATGCAGGAGTCCAGGGGGGAGCGAGAGATGAACTCCTCATAGCACTGAGGGGAGGGGAAATGGCACCTTTAGTACCATGAAGACAACTGCCCTGCTCTTAACCCCCAGACAGGCAGCCCTTCCACCACTGTAGTCTGCTTCTTCTGTTTGATTTCCATACATTGGGTGAAAGCTCCTTCCAGGCTCTTGCAAGACAACACATTTTAATAATTCTAATTTGCAATTCTTATGTATTTTAATAGATTGGCAGGAATTCATTGTCACTTGATTAACTTCATTACTTGGGACACTTTATGGGCTGCAATATTAACATGTGAGTTTTTATAAAAGTATTTATCCACCAACTAGAATGAAAATTTTCAGAACATGAAAATGGACTTGAAAACACATTATAATAAAAATTACAGTGTTCTCCCAAGTAAGAGTTATTGCAGTCTCTCTATTCCACAGTGAATGGACAGACATGACTTATTTATTTACCTGGGCTACTTGTTTGTGTTTTGAAGGTATGTTCTCCACATGATTTGCTTTCACACAGACAATATTTCTTCCTGTAGAGAGATGGCTGGGTATTTAATTGCTCTGGTTCAGGGCACGTAAAGCACCGTAGCATCTGACATGGTAAACTGTGGAGAGGCCTTTCACAGCTCATGCCAGCAGTTTTCTATGAGTTCCTTGTCCTGCACTGACCTCTGCCAGTTCCTACATACAACCCAACAGTTTTGGGGTTCCCATCTGGTCCTCGGTTCACAGAGAAAGTTGATTTGTTTCGGTAGCCATTAATGATGGGCTGAGGGAGAAAAGAAGGAAAAGCAAACCCTTGGATTAAAAGAAAAAACAAGGGAGGAAAGCCAACCAGCCTGGTTATTCTGTTGCCAACATGGGAAGATGTATGTGAATGGGCAAAACACAGAAACAAAGTTTGTGCACAAGAACCCCAGTACTGCCCCTTGGAGACAAAAGTAGCTCTCTGTGACAGAATGGTGACAGGTTTAATAGGGAGGCCTTTTAGGCACAAAAAAAGGGTTCCTAAGCACTGGGTTTATTTCACTCCCTGGCAGTCACAAGCTGCAAAGCACAAGTTAGCAAGGACTGACTCAGACACTCTCTGCAGGCAAATGATGCCCCCCATGAGAGTCTTGAGCTGTTGAGTGAGAGACTGTTCGTGGCTCAGAGGGAAGAGCATTCCCATGGCACACTCACCGAAGGGACTATAGGCTGCAGAGGACAGCAGAGCCCACCAGGTTTCTGTGCATCTATGCCCAGCTCCTCAAGACGAGCTGCCAATGTCTGCAAAATCTTCCTCTGGCTTTCATACTTGACCTGCAGAGGAGTTCTGAGGCAGAAACACTCTCATGGGACCACACAATGGTGGGCAGCTCTTCATCACCCACCTCTGGGGAGTCCAACAGGAGGAAAAACTGCAAGTGAAAATATAGCCCCAGAGGAACTCTGTCCTTTTCATAACCACAGCTGCTTGGAGAAACAGGAAGAAAGAAAAATCGTGTCTGCAGTCCCCAAATACTGGCCTACAACATTTTGTCTAACCTGAAGCCCCAGTGAAGCAGAGCAGTCTCACAGAGGCCAGGATCACTGTGCAAATGCCCATCCTCTGTACTACAAGGAACCTCCCAGTTCTATCCTTCACAACAACAGGATTAAAGCAGCAGTAAATGGGGTCTGAACAGTTTGCAGCATTATGATGCTAAGGGCTACTGTTCAAGGGGACAGGAGGGACAGTTGGGGCAACACAACAGAGAAAAGTCTGTGTAAACTCATCTTACCTGCAGCTGCTCTTGGTAGGGAAGTCTCCACAGTGGTGTCACTGCATTTGCTAACCTGGAAAGCAGAACAGCAAGGCAGTGCCCAGAGCTACTCGACTCCTGACTCCTACGGCATAACATCCCTGTCAGCTACGTCATGGGCAGGACTGTTCTCGTGTGGGCTCTGCACCAGGGCTGGCTGTGAACACCCAGACTCCCAGGGCACCACAGTGAAATGCAGTTTGTGTGCAGCAGGAGGGAATTGCAAGCTGCCCATTCTCACTGACCCAGCCACCCACACAGAAGTATTTTAGAGATAAACCTCAGAACTTGCCACTACTCATATGAAAAGCAAAACAAGCAAGAACAAAACATATAAAAGCTGGTTTTAAAAAAATTATATATATATATATGTGTGTGTGTGTGTGTGTGTATACATATACCCTAAAAAGAGCTCGCAAAAAAGAGGTGAGACTGATATGATTCAAGCACTCATAATTGACTCTCTGCAACCATGGGGAACAGCACCCCACAGCTGGATAAGTTGCAGCTATTGCCTACCTAGGGTTTTTGGAGCTGCTTCCAAAGCACCCAGTGCCAACTACCCCGAGGACTGCAAATAGACTATCACTTTTTGCTTGTCAATATGGCAATTATTATCTGCTCCTTTTCTCTCAGAACATTGTATTTGTTTTCTCCACTATCCCCTCCCCAGGCCAGACTCCAGGCAAACGAGCCCTGGATCTTCTGTTCCTACAGGGTGGAAGTAAACCCTCAACACACCACGTCCACAGCTTTAGGTGTTTGCTGCTTTGAAAAAATGCTCGATCATTTTGGAGAAGCCATACCTCTCCTCCCAGGAAGGTTCTGGCAGGATGCAGCTCACCCTGGCCTTTTTCTTCCCTTGGCACGTTGCTGCTGTGGTTGTCAGCAGGCCGCGGTGCGGAGCGGGCAGGCTGAGCGGGGAGAGCGGCGGAGGGCGGAGGTGGCAGCGCGGTGGCCTCAGCACGCAGGACAGAGCCATGGCAGGGGCGAGGGGCTGCGCCCACCGCGGGCAGCCGAACAGCGGCACGGGCTGGAGACCCGGCCCCGCTCCGGGCAGTGACAGGGACCCGCTCCAGCAGCGGCACCGGCTGCCGGCGGGAGCGGAAGGGGCGCGGTGAGAGCCCGGGGACCTCCCCGTGCCCGGCCCCGTGCTGCCCGCGGATTGCCCGCGGCGCTGGGGAGGGCTGAGCTTTCACCCCGAGCCGGTCGGACACGGCTAGCAAAGTGTCACGGCAACTGAGTGGCCGCGCTGAGCTGGTCAGTCACTGGAAGCTCAGTGCCACCTGCCACCTGCCACCGAGCCTGTCCGATGGGACACTCGGGACAGCGGAGAGAGCAGGAGGGAAGGCTGTCTACCGTGTCACCTCGCAGGATGGGTGTAGTTGGGTACATGTGGACAGGAGGGCAAGAACAGCCTCTCCCAGCCAGCCCAGGCCGTGCCTCCCGCAGATGCTGAAGGAAAAGCGGGGATCACGCAAGCACACGTGGCCACATGCTCACTTAACTCCCTCGGGCACCAAATAATCTCTGCGCTGGGGATTCCCCGAGTCAGGCATCGTTTATCTACTTAGGGACCCCAAGAGTTCTCTTGTCCACTAGTTTACCTCCACAACTCCCTGAAAGGTGGTTGCAGTCAGGTGGGATTTGGTCTCTTTATCCAGGCAGAAACTGACAGAACGAGAGGACACAGTCTTAAGCTGCACCAAGGGAAATAGAGGTTGGATATTAGGAAAAAGTTTTTTTATAGAAAGAGTGATAAAGTATCAGAATTGACTGCCCAGGGAGGTGGTGGACTCACCATCGCTGGATGTGTTTAAAAAAATATTGGATGGGGCACTCGATGCCATGGTTTAGTTGAGGTGTTAGGACATGGGTTGGACTCGATAATCTTGAATGCCTCTTCCAACCTAGTGATTCTGTGATTCTGTGATACCTGCCACCCTTCCATGTCACCTAAAATTCCTGCAGCCACACATCCTTTGGCCAGGAGGCTCACCCACCCACCTTCTACCATTTGGGTGAATTGTTCTTGTGTGAACCTGGCTGCTGCTGTTTCCCCCAAGAGCTCCAAGCTTGGCAGTCTCCCCGCCCGGTCTCGGTCCCGGTCGCGGTCCCGGTCCTCGTTTCGTCCCGTCTTCTCCCGGTGAGGCCGGAGCAGGAGCGGAGATCCTCCACGCCGCAAGGGGGCGCAACACTGCTCAGGCCCGCTGCGTGCCTGGGGCGGTGCTCGCGGCGTTTAACCGCGCCCCGTGGGCGGGGCCTGTGCTGCGTGGCCACGCCCATCGTGGGTGGTGACAGCTGGGACGCGCCGTCTGCAGTAGCCGCGCCTTCGCCACGCCCCACTGCCCACGAGACGCCGGCGCGAGCGCTGATTGGTCGGCCGCGCGGGGCGGGCCGGGCGCTGATTGGCCGGCGGCGCGCGGCGGAACGCGGCCCGGCGCGGCGCGTCAGTTCCGCGCTGGGCCCGCGATGCTGTCGGCGGGCGGCGGCTCCGGCCCCGGCGGGGCGGGCGGCTCCGGGCCGGGGCTCGGCGGCGACGGCGATTTTCTCTCGCGGTACCGGCTGGTGTCGGCCAAGCTGCGGCGGCGGTTCCTGCGGAAACCGAACGTGGCGGAGGCGGCGGAGCAGTTCGCGGCGCTGGCGCGGGAGCTGCGCGCCCAGGAGAGCCTGCCCTACGCCGCCTGGTGCCAGCTGGCCGTGGCGCGCTGCGCCCAGAGCCTCTTCCACGGCCCCGCCGAGGCGGCCGCGCTGGCCGAGGCCGCGCGGCTCTTCCTGCGCCAGGAGCGGGACCTGCGGCAGCGCCTGGGGTTGCGCGGCGGCTTCGGCGAGCACGTGGCGGCGGCGCAGAGCTGCGGGGCCTTCGCCGCCCGCCTGCACCTGGAGCGGGGACAGCCCGCGCTGGCGGCCGGGCCGTGCCTGGAGCTGGCGGCGGCGCTCCGCGACACGGGACAGCCCGCCCGCGCCGCCGCGCCCCTGCAGCGGGCGGCGGAGCTGCTGACGGCGGCGCGGCTGCCGCTGCAGGCTCTCCGCTGCCTGGCCGAGCGCGCGTCCTGCCTGCTGCTGGCCCGCGACTACGCCGGGGCGCTGGCCACGCTGACGCGGGCGCAGGCTCTGGCCGGGGCCGGGCTGGGCGGTGCGGTCGGGGCCGGGGCCGCGCCCGGCGGTGCCTTCCTGGACGTGCTGGCGCGCTGCGAGGTGTCGCGGGTGCTGCTGCTGCTCCTGCTGCAGCCGCCGCCCGCCAAGCTGCTGCCCGAGCACGCCCGCACGCTGGAGCAATACTGCTGGGAGGCGCCCGATGGCGGACCGGGCACCGGCAGCGGTACCGGGACGGGCGGGGGGCTGCCGCCGGCCGCCAGCTACCTGCCGGCCGAGCTGTTCCTGCTGCTGCAGTCGGCAGTGCTGGCGTGCCAGGAGAAGGACGCGGAGGCGCTGAAGGCGCTGCAGGCCGAGCTGTGGCCGCTGCTGACCGCCGAGCAGAACCATCTGCTCCACCTCGTGCTGCAGGAGATGCTGAGCCCCGCCGGACAGGGGCTCTGAGCGCCGCCGCCCGCGGGGACAGGTCGGACCGGTCGCTTCAGACAGTTCCAGCACAGACTCTATTCGGTTATTTATTTTTAATACGAGTTCTGTAACTCAATGAAGTAATGGTTGATGAGAGAATACGTTCACCTACACGTTTGCCTTGTGTCATAGTAAACTGCTCACTGTATGAACTGAAAGTTGTCATGCTTGGCAAAAGTGTAGCCCTAAAGCAGGCTATTTTAGGGCAGAAGGAAGCTGTTCATTAAAAGACTGGCTGCAATTTGCATGTGTTGGAGAATTTGAGTATCTAGGAATCAAATGTTGTTAGAGTTGCCTTTCAAAAAACAAACAAAACCCATATAAAATATTTTCATTTTTCTTTCTCTTGAAAACAACTGACACTGCAGCCAACACAAGGCCCCTGAGTTTTGTGGTGGGTGAAGGGAGTTGGTCGCTGACCTGCAAGTGGTTCCTGAGATGATGGTGGCCTGACTCCAGTCTCTGTAGCAGCTGTTAACCCAGAGAACTGAGCCTGCACGGTGGCAAATCCACTTCAGCTGAGGGAATTTGGGAACAGAATTAATGGTGGAGGTGGTGAAGCTACAAGAGTTATTGCAATGTGGACTGTTTGCTTAATTCTACGTGTCTGCTGTCAGGCACTTCTGTCTCTTGCTTTCTGCTTCTTGGGACCCTTAGGTGAAGGCAGCTGGTCTTTAGAGGAGAAAAGGTTCTTCTGGCTTTGGTGCACTCAGCTGTTGGGTACAGGCCTTGCTCAACTCCAGCAGTGCTAATACACAACCTCAAGCAGGGCAGGCTTTATCCTGGAAGCTGGAGACGCCTCGGGGGCGTGCATGTTGGGTGGATAAAGAGCAGTTCTAGGCTACCCAGCTACTGGGCAGTGAAACAAGCCCTGTCAGCCAGCACTTCCAGAGACCCTGCAGAGGCTGAAGCTTTCGGAAAGACAGCAATCCCTTTTGTACACGTGGGAGAGGAGCCAGAGGTAAGAGGTAATTCTGTTAAACAGTGGTATAACATCTGATTTTAACATTTGGGTCTGGAGACTGCAGTTTTTTTCAAACGCTTTTCCAGTGTTTTTCACCTCCCACACTTAAGTAATGAAGAACTTGCCGTTTTCCCCTCTGAAACGCAAACAGAGAAGCCACTAATTTTAAGAGGCCTAAATTACCACAAGCCTCTTTTTGACAAGGTAAAATTGTAGTTGAGAAAGGCTCGGATCCGAGCTGGATGTTATTTTACGACTTAAGTCAGCCGCGGATGCGCCAGGCCGGGAGGCAAAACTAAAAACCCGAGATTGCTTACGGCCGCGTCCTTTTAAAATTCCAGCGGATGAAGCAGTTAGTGCGAGTGTAACTGTGCGCTAGCGGCGGGGAGGGGCGGTGCCGGGGGCGGTTCTGGCGGCGGAAGGGGCGCGGGCGGGCGGGCGGTGCCGGTGACGCGGCGCGCGGGGCCCGGCGGGACGGGGCGGGCGCAGCGGCGGGGACAGCACGCGGCGCGGCCATGGCGGACGGGGACGGTGCGCAGCGGTGGGGACCGGCGGGGAGGGGCACGGGGAGGGCTCGGGGGAAGGTCTGCGGGCGGCTTTGTCCCCCTGGGCCTTTGGCCCTCTCCCCTCCCGGCCCTGCCGCGCTGCCGGCGCTCACTCCCGCCGTGTCGCTCCCGCAGGTTCCAGCACGAAGAAGCGGCGGAAGAAGGAGAAGCGGGCGCTTGCCGATGATGATATAGCGGTGAGAGCGGGGCTGGGGGAGGGTATCGGGCCGTGCTCGGGGTGCCGGAGGGCTCCCCCAGCCCCATCCGTGGGACCGAGGGTAGGGCTGGGACGGGCTCGCCCCGCGTGGCGGCAGCGGAGCCTCCCGGGCCACGTGCGGCGGCGGGAGCGCGGCCCGCCGCCTTCCCCCTCTCTGATCCCGCTTAAATTCATCCTCCCCAGGACATTCAGCACACCGAGGATTTTCTCATCAGGCCCGAATCCCGGGTGGCCCAGCTGGACACGTCGCAGTGGCCCTTGCTGCTGAAGGTAGGGCGGGTTCTGCTCACCCTCGTGGCCCGTCCGTGTCGGCGCTCCTTTTGTCCTCTGCCCCCGGAGGTGTAACCCCGCTGCAGGGAGCAGCGCACGTGGTGCTCTGCCTGCAGAAATCGTGGTACACACTCTCTCCAGCAGTATCAATTCAGTTTTGTGAGTTTTCCATGCCTTGGAAAGATCCCGCCATATTGGTTGAGTTTTTAATTTGGGTCTGGCCATGGCCTGTAGTCCGTGTAGACTTCCAGGTTGTTTCTGCTGAGTTTCTGGGGAATGTTCAGTTTATCCTGCATTATCAATGCATATATTGTACTGCCTTCCCATCTCCTTCAGTCCAGGATTTCTATTTTTCTCGATTTTTGTAAAATATTATTGTAGTTTCATTGTTGGGTCATTTTCATTTTGGAAGTGGCTCTATCACTTAAATGTACAAATCAGACCTGATGTATCTGGGGAGATGTACTGCAACACAGCAACACTGAAATCAAGGGAGCTTTAAAAGACTTGTAACTTCTGCTTGGATTTTATAGAACTTTGACAAGTTAAATGTGAGGACAGCACACTACACACCTCTTCCTTCCGGTTCTAATCCCCTGAAGAGAGAGATTTCTGACTATGTTAGGTGAGTTCAGTACAGGCCAGAGTGGTTTATATTTTTTTTGACAGTTAACACCTTCAAAATACTTTCTGGCTGGATTCCCCTTGTACCTTTGTTCTTCACTCAGTGCCTTGCCATAATCACCGAGCATTTAAATAGGACCCACTGATCTCTTCCTGTAAAGTTTTATTTATTCTGGGCTTGTAGCAGGTCTGTGGATGGACGTGCAAACCACCTAAGGAATTCTCTGGGCTCTTTGGAAAAGTCTCTTCAAAGCCTGCTGGGCTTTGAAACTGCTTGGAGTTTGTAGAATTTGGGGTTTTTTTAAAATACAGAGTAGTGATAAGGCAAGGGAGAATTCCTTGAGCATGGATTGTATAATCTGCTGTGCATGGAGCAGGTGGGTGTGGGCTCACTGAGAGCTGCTGGGAGGCTCATTGCTTATCTGGCTGTATAGAAATACATCTCTTTGCAGCCAGGACAATATTTCAAAGTCACTGCACTGTTGCCATGTCTGGCCTGATGCTTAGCTCCCATTCCCTGCCATTTTGTACTATAGGTCTGGCTTTATTAACCTCGACAAACCCTCCAATCCATCCTCTCACGAGGTGGTTGCGTGGATCCGGCGCATCCTGCGCGTGGAGAAGACGGGGCACAGTGGCACCCTGGATCCCAAGGTGACTGGGTGCCTCATTGTGTGCATCGAGAGGGCAACACGGCTGGTCAAATCTCAACAGAGCGCAGGTTTGTTTGATGCTCAGGGCCATCTGCAGTGACCAGGGATGTGTGAAGTGATTTTGGAGACAATATGAAGATTTCTAGAACTTGAAAAGGCCAATCTTAGTTTTCAGTGCCTTGACCTTAAGGGTTGCATGTTATTCCAACCCACTGAGAACACATCTGTGTTGCCTCAGGTGATTTTTCCATTGCTTTTCTGGTGCTTGAGCTGTTTTAAGTCAGTGAAAACACCTCTGACATGGTTTTATCTACTAGTTGAACTTACGGCCTCGGCCTCTACAAGTCCAGAGAAGAAATACATGTAGCTTAGATTTATTTCCCTGGAAGAATAGCCAGCTCTGTAATAAAACATGCCCATTTCCTAGAAGGGGTGTTAGGATTTCAGGGTTCTGGGGACATGTGGCTGTGAAGCAGAATGGACCTTGAGGTCAACATCAAATTCAAGTGGCCGCTCCTGACTGCTCTTGTCATTCTTTCAGGCAAAGAGTATGTGGGAATTGTTCGGCTGCACAATGCCATTGAAAGTGAGGCTCAGCTGGCCAGGGTAAGTCTCATGTGCTCTTAGCCATGCTGGCATCTGGCATGCAGAGTGCTGGGCACTGGTGGGAGATGAGGGGCCAGGAATGGAGCTCAGGTGTGCTGTGTGTGAGGTGATGACACAGTTTATCCATTCTCTGAGTGCAGTGGAGCTGCCCTCCTGCAGCACCCCAGCTCCTGTTCTAGGGTCTGGGTGCTGTGCAGCCTCCAGACATCCTGCAGTGTCCCAGTGTCCTACTGGGAGCTGCTGTGGTGTGTGGCTGGCTGCCTGCAGGAGGGGAGCAGTGCTGGCAGGGTTGGAGCCCCTCTTTGGGGGCTCCAGCCTCACTAGGACGAGGCATGGTGTCTGATCACATGCTGCCATCTAATGGAAAAATCCTGGCAGTGCTCACTGGCATCTCGATCACATCACTGGCTTGGACTTGCTTTATTAAATATGGCATCACCAAATCAGGATAAACCTTGTGGTTTCTCACTCTTGGAAGTGGACACAGTTGCTGCAGACTCCAGGGTGCTCCTGCATTAGGGCACAGGTGTGAACTCTTGCTTCTCCTTCCTTCCTTAGGCCATAGAAACCCTGACAGGTGCCCTGTTCCAGCGGCCACCCCTCATTGCTGCTGTCAAACGACAACTGAGAGTCAGAACCATTTATGAGAGCAAGCTGGTGGAGTATGATCCTGAGAGAAGACTAGGTAAAATAGGGCTTTTCTGCCCTATTCCTGTAAAACTGACAACTGATAAAATTTTCTGTGAAATGTGCTGCTTTTGGCAGATGTCTTAAGACCTAAATCCTCCCATTGTCCAGCAGTAACTGCTTCATGCATTACTTCGGTGTGCTGGGAAGCAAATCTCATCCCTTTTTGTACTGCTGCACCCTTCGCTGGTAAAGAGCCAAATGATGTAAATTAGATGGCATTAGCTCTCAGGGCAAAGATGACCTTCATCTATCACCCCATACTGATGGCTCTGGGATGGGCTGAGCATACAGCTTTTCTTGAAGGATGTGGTTTATTTTCTGCTTAAAAACTCTGTATCCTGCCCTGCCTTTTAGGTATCTTCTGGGTGAGCTGTGAAGCGGGCACATACATCCGAACCCTCTGTGTTCACCTGGGATTGCTGCTGGGCGTGGGGGGCCAGATGCAGGAGCTCCGCAGAGTCCGCTCAGGCATCCTGGGAGAGATGGTACAGTGGCACCTCAAACTATAACCAGCTCATTTGAAACTGTCAGAATTGCAAGAATTCCTTGGGACTGTGTGAGTTTTACAGTGTTAGGAGGAGGTTTAGGCTCAGGGAGTTTTGTGAATAGCCCCCAAGCAGTGAGGGCTCTTGCTGTAGGTGGTCTCTAACCAAAGTGTTGAGTTCAGTTCAGGATGTTGCTCCTGTTCTGGTAATTAAACTTTGGGATAGTGAATGACTGGGAAGTGCACTGTGGTGGCTGAAAGTTTGTTTTATGTCACCTGTGTTTCTCAGCCTACAGACCCCAGTGTCCCACAAGTTCAGGAGTGTGAAATGACTGCTTGGAGTCAGCACAGCTCAGGGAATGTGGCTCATTGGAATGAGCCTGGAGAAGCAGTCTTAAGTCATCTTGAACTCTTTTAGAGTCTTTGCACTCTGGTGATAGACAGGTCCTGCTGCTGGTCCAAACTCCAGAACTAATTTCTTTTTTTGCAAAACAGCAGTATGAGAGTGCAAGTGCTTCCCCACCCATTTGTGCTCTTAGCACAGCTGTAACCACAGGCTCATTTCTGAATTCCAGGTGTTGGGTGCTCACAGCTGCCTCAGAATTTATTCAGTGTCACAGATTAAAGAGCTGGCTAATTTAGACTTCTGCCCACTAACCTTTGTCTAGGAGCCCCAGGAATTTAATTTAGGTCATATTTAAAGGTTTCATGTGGGCAGACCTTAGACCCAAATGCTGTCTGAGATTAGGAAGGTTGAAGTCTGGTAGCTCAAGCCAGGCTGACCTCCAGCTAACGATGGAAAGTATTCTTTCTTCTTTTAAGTTGTGTTTTCATGCTTGTGATGGGCATCTGGTTTTATTCCCTTTTTCAAACATTACTTGCTGTTGGACTTTAGCTATTCCCTTGTGCATGTTTCGAGTTGGTGGCTGGTGGGAGACTTTAGAAGGGTTTTGTCTTTGCAGGACAACATGGTGACCATGCACGACGTGCTGGATGCCCAGTGGCAGTACGACAACAACAAGGATGAGAGCTACCTGCGAAGGGTCATCCTGCCCCTGGAGAAGCTGCTGACTTCCCACAAGAGGCTCGTCATGAAAGACAGTGCAGTGAGTTCCTGAGGCAGTGCCAGGGGACAGACAGAGACTGCAAAGTGTCCTCCTGACTTGTGCAGCTGATAGAACACACAGGGGATCAGGAGCTGTGTGATGTCCTGTGCTGTCCTGATGGTGACTTGTGTAGAACCTCATATGGGCTCCTGCCAGAGCAGCACTAGGGTGCATGAGCAATGAATTAAATGACAGAGGATCTGCTCTCCTCACTTGAGGAGGATGCTGATGGTTATGAGAAATCCGCCTCACACACTTTTTGCTGTGATAGGCGCTTTGCTTTCTCCTTCCAAAGCTCCCAAGTTTTATGTAGTGGACAAAAATGAGTAGTTACCTTGGGATGATATTAATGGGATGGTGGTGGCAGTGGGAAGCTAAAAATTAGAGATGTTTTGTACTTCAATTCTTGTAATAGCTTCTAAGCCCTCCCATTCCCTACATTTTCAGGTTAATGCCATTTGCTATGGAGCCAAGATCATGCTGCCTGGTGTTCTGCGGTATGAGGATGGGATTGAGGTTAATCAGGAAATTGTTGTCATCACCACAAAAGGAGAAGCCATCTGCCTAGGTATGAAATGCCTCTTTCTCTTTGTGTCCAGCTAATTGCAGAAATAACAGACTGTGTGACAGTAAAGGCACCACAAATTAGTTCCTGTGTGCAGAAGGTGTAATTAGTGCTTCCTGATAGGGAATGTGGGCCCAAGGCAGCTGTTTTTGGGCAGGATGTTAAGAAACAGTAGCTGCATCAGTCCTGGGCAAGGTGTGAGGGGCTCAGCAGCTGTGTGATGCTCAGGTGTGCTGTGTGTGAGGTGATGACACAGTTTATCCATTCTCTGAGTGCAGTGGAGCTGCCCTCCTGCAGCACCCCAGCTCCTGTTCTAGGGTCTGGGTGCTGTGCAGCCTCCAGACATCCTGCAGTGTCCCAGTGTCCTACTGGGAGCTGCTGTGGTGTGTGGCTGGCTGCCTGCAGGAGGGGAGCAGTGCTGGCAGGGTTGGAGCCCCTCTTTGGGGGCTCCAGCCTCACTAGGACGAGGCATGGTGTCTGATCACATGCTGCCACCAGGCACATCACACCTCCTGGTAGATCACTGCAAACAGACTCCAGCAACTGCCAGCTTGACTTGAAAGGGTGCCCAGTTCTAACCAGGGTCTTCAGAGGAGCTGTGTGACAGTCAGTGAGTCCTTGGGGTGACACTGGTGGGAGATGTTGGTCATCTTTGTGCTGACAGAGGCAGAACAGGCTGACACAGTTCTGCTCTTTAGGAGTTACTGACCTCCATGTCTGCTTCTGCAGCCATTGCCTTGATGACCACAGCAGTCATTTCTACGTGTGACCATGGCTTTGTGGCAAAGATCAAGAGAGTGATCATGGAGAGAGACACATATCCCCGGAAGTGGGGGCTGGGTCCCAAGGTGAGCGCTCCTGTGGGAGTGGGGTCAGTCTCAGGGCAGTGATGGGAGCCCAGCTGTTGAGATGTGGAACTTTGGGACCCTTAGGCAGAGCTGTGCCTGTGTCTATTTCAGGGCCCTGCTGCAATCCTGCTGTGATGGTGGCAATTCCCAGCGTCAGGGCTGTGGCAGCCCACTGCTGGTAGAAGCAAGGCTTTCCCCCCCAAAAGAGCCTGGGGGCCACTGCTGGTGTTGAGGCATGGGCTCCTCAGATCTGTACAGTGCCAGCCCTCCTCTGGTGAAGAGCCAAATGATGTGAAGTGGATGGCATTAGCACTCTGTGCAAAGATGACCTTCATCCATCACCCCATGCTGATGGCTCTGGAGGGGCTGGGCAGGTGCTTCTTTTCCTTCTGGTGCAGCACTGCTGAAATTCACACTGTGAGACAGGAAACTGTGCCTGAAGGACAGGAGCAGTGGGAACACCCAGTGTTGGGTTCCTCTCCCACCTCAGGCATGTGGTGGTAGCTTAACTGCAGCCAGGCTGGCCTGATGCAGGTTGGATTCAAAACTCTGTGTCAAGCTGCTGTGGCTCATCCCATTCCTGTAGTTCAGGTGAAAGCTTTGGGGCAGCCTGCACATGTCTCACAGCAAAGATGGGGTAATACAGAACACTTCAAGCATTTTGGAGTCCTTGGCAAAACCTCGCAAACAAGTGGTTCAGCTCAAATGCTGCAGGTCATTAAGCTGGAAAAACCCAGTCAAAGATCCAGCCTCCATGTATTACTGTTGCTGTGACTGCCCCTTCAGATTATCCATTATTTACTGATAAAGTGCTTCTTGTCTGAGATTTAGGCTTCTGTGCAGGGGATGTTCTGTCTTATTTAAGGTCTTTGAGCAGTGGTAAATAGGTAATGCTGTAGTTGTTGGCTTGGCTTGTTGCTAGATTCCCTTCTCTTAGCTTGAGGGAAGATTTTTCCTACCTGGAGCTGCAGTTTGACTTGTTGCACTTTGCTTTCAGGCCACTCAGAAGAAGATGATGATCCAGAAGGGTCTACTGGACAAGCATGGAAAGCCCAATGAGAGCACACCAGAGTTATGGAAGAAGGAATATGTGGATTACAGGTGGGTACTGGGTGTGTGGCTCCCACAGGGTTGTTCAGAGGGCAGCACTACGCAGCAAGGGTTGGGCTGGATGCTGCTATTTGTGCATGGATCATGTTAGGCTTGGCCCAAGGCTGGCTGGACCTGTCAGATGCAGTTGCATTTCTTGGAGTGTGTTGCTCTTGGGCAGCATTGGAAGGAAAGGCTCTGAGCAGACAGTTATCCCTTTTTAGCCTGTTGTGGTTTTAGAGGGAGTCAGTCTGCTAAATTAAATGGGGGAGGCTGTGCTGTTGCCCAGCCCAGCTGGTTCTGGTGCTGGCTGCAGGTCTCCCCCACAACAACTTCTCCACCCAGCTCCTGGGGTGGGTTACAGAGCCCTTGTGAGAGGACAGGGATTTGTACCAGTCCAGAGCAGCCTGAGGCAACAACTGTCCAGTGCAACCTTGGGATCTCTTCTTTCAGGGATACTTCCAGGAAAGAAGCAGCTGCTGATCACCAAGCTGCTTCAGAGGTGGACAGGGCTGCAAAAGTGAGTATTGCCAGTGCTCTCTGGCTCTTACTTTATGGCCCTGTTATTCCCATTATCTGCACATACCTCGCACCTGCATTTTGGTCCAATGATGATTTTTAGTCCAGGGTCTTCCATGCCCTTTGTTAGGCACAAGGTCAGCACCCATTCACAGTTCCTTACCTGTGGCTCCAGCAATTTCCCACCACCCAGGGCACAATTTGCAGCTCAAACACCAAGCTACTGTCCTTGGGCATATTCCTCAACACAACACAAGAAATATATTGTATGGAGCCACAAAAGAGATTTGTTGTGCCAGAGAACCTTTTTGGAGGCTACAGAGAGCTGCAGAAATGTCCATGCAAGAGTTGCACCTAAAGTTCCCTAACTCGGGGCTTTTGCATGTCCTTGGAAAGGTGCCAGCAGTGTTCTAAACTAATATCTGGGATACAGGAAACACTGAAAAATACAGGGGGCAATTCCTAGGCAGTGTATGCTGGAGAGTCTGCAAGTCACCCTTCTGTAAAATGAAGTTGTATTGAAACAGGCAGTTTTCTCCTCACCTGAGCTTTGTTGGAAGGTGTTGGTATGTCTGACAATGTGTTTTCCTAACAGAGAAAGCGAGACTCAGAGAGTGAAAATGAGGAAGATGTGACCCCATCATCCCCTGCCACCCCACCACCAGAGGAGCTGAGCAAAAAGGCAAAGAAAAAGAAGAAGAAAGAAAAGAGGGCCAGAGAGGCAGCTGAGAGCGGGGAAGAACAAACAGAGAGGGTATGGAATTGTGTACTGCCATGGTATGGTCCAAACATAGTGGAGGTTGCTGTCTGTCCTTAAGTACCAGGACTAATGCAGCGTGTGTCCACAGAGTGCCAGGCCTTCCACAGCAGAGGAGGATGTATTAGAGATGCATTTTAAACTGAACTGGTGGTGGGAGAATAGGGCAGGTGGCCCAGAACATTTGGTGGGTTCCTGCCAGGCCACCTCTGTGCTCTGGTGCCGTCATGGTCCCCGAGGGAGGATGGTGCTGGAGTTTGCTGTGGGGAGCCTGCACTGCTTCTAGGATGGAGCTGTTCCTCCTGAAATGGGCAGTGGGGGATTCCTTTTTGATGGCTTGCTGACCTTTCCAACCTCTCCACAGACCAGTGAGACCAGCAGCACCAAGAAGAAGAAGAAGAAGCAAAAAGAGGTAGAAGAAAGCTCGGATTAAGCAACTGCATCTGTCCAAAGTAGGCAACCTCATCAGTAAGGAGGAAGGAGTTTTAGGCCTTGAAAAGAGGAGGACTGGCTTCGTGGCAGAGGAGCCAGCAAGTTCCAAGTTCTTTTTATATGAGTGAGTGGGTGTTTGCCCTGCTCAGGTGCCCCTCTTCATCCTGTTTTAAGGGTTGCCAGAGGAGCAGGGTGCCTCACTGTTCCTGCACTGGATTGATCTCTAAAGCTGAGCACCATGATGCCAACAGATGCGGTATCTTCAGGGAAACTGTAGCTTCTGGCTTTTCCTTGGTTTCTGTTTTCACCTAGAGAGGGTGGAATAATCTTTCTCTCCCCACTAATGTACTGGCTCTTTCCTTTTCTCCCAAGGCTGAAGCTGTTACCTGACAGTTAAAGAATGTGTTGCTGCCTGGAAGAGTGGCTTTGTCACAGCCCATGTGAATGTGTTTGCATTGGGACAGTCAGATCAGTTATTTCTGAAGGACTATGTTTTGCTTTAACCTGGCCACATGCTTGGCTTGACCTTCAGTTCAATGAGAACACCCAAATTATTTTTCACTCCTTTTCTTCACCTTTATCATGAAAGGATTAGAAAATTTAATTCCTCTGTTCTGTTTATAGCACAAGGACGTGCTTGTTCTGTGTGTGCTGATTCCCAAACCCCCTTGCCTCAGTGACCTGGGCAGTGTTTCCTTTTTGCTGCCTCTTTGCTCTTCTCTATCTGTTTCTTGGACTGCAACACTTTTGGTTGCCTTGCCTGGTTCAGGTGTGTGCTCTGAAGGCTGGAGGTGGGGATGTGGCTGGAGGGCAGAAGGTGACCGACCAACATGTTCTTGATGCTGCTGGGACTGGAGTCCTGAGGCAAAGCTTGGTCAGAGGCAGCTCTGCCAAGGGGCATTGGGTGTGGGCTTGAATGGTTTCAGATAAATTTGTTGCTAGCCTATCTGGAATGACTTGCTGGGGGCAGAAGGTCTCTGCTCTGTTACAGGGTTAGTGCTGAGCCAGCATTTAGCTCATTCTAATGGGGAAGGACCCAAGGCTGTTTTGTTCTGAGTTTCATCCCTGCAGAGATTCTGTTAACTGTTGGTTTTAACCTCGTGCATTGCTTTAGTCTTAGTGGTCTATCCTCCCCTCCACTGCTGGAGATGCAGGCTGTGGGGACAGCAGCTGGGTGGGTGTTACAACCTGATCAGAAAAAAAAAAAGGTCCATTTTTATTTACTCTTTTTTTACAAAAAAGAAATAAAACTTCTGGTTTTGAACAGGTGACTTTCTTGCTCCTCTGGCTCCTCCCAAAAGGTCAGTGGTATTCATGGGGCAGGGGGGGTAGCTTTTACCACGTGCCCAGCCTCTGCTCCTCTCTTGAAGAAGATGCTGGGGCAGAGAAATGTTCATGTTGATGAGGACCATCACTAGAAGGGCCTTTGTCAGCACCCAGCCTGTGAGGTAAAACACCAGCCATGGCAATGTTTCAGCGCACATTTATTGCTGCTCATTGTTTCCCTGCAGTGGATCAGAACAAAGGTCCCTATTGCACATAGATTTTTATTTTTGGCATCCTTAAAAAAAAAATTGCACAAGACTTTTTAACCACCTTCCCCTTGCCCCTGTAGCTGACTGAACACACAAATGAGATTTTTCACCTACGTGGTGGGTGTGGTGATACTTCCCAGACATGGTGGCATGGGGCTTGTGAGTCAGTACAAACCCAGGGCTGAACATGGCTTTCATGTTTGCATACAGTGAGAGACACCCTAGACTGGAAAACATGCCTGGACGATCTTTGTAGACACTTTTCTACTGCATGCAACAGATAGTTGTGGCTGGATGTAATTACCCATTGAAGGGTCCCTCTGGGGTTTGGTCTGTGGGACTGGCTCAGCTGCTGCCCAGATTTCTCTGGCCAGGCAGTAACAATCCAAGCTGCACGGTGAGATTTCCAATAGAGTGAGTTTTTACACCTTTTATGGCTGCACAGGGTGAATGAGAAAACTTCAGCCTGGGAACATGGGGTGAGGCCTGCCTGGGGGTGCTCCGTGCCACATTCATCATCCTCCCCATTTGTGAGAGGAAACCCTTGGATTGAGAAGGGAAGGGTTTGCTTTGTGTGCATTCCTGCCATGCCAGGAGACATCTGCCTGGAAAAGCCCCCGTTCTGCCACTTGGGACTGCTGCAGGGAAAGTCAGCTGGGTGCTACAGCAGGACTGTGCTTTCCCTTGCCCAGGGAGGGCAGGTAACTGTGCTCTGAGCTAACCTGGGCTCTGCTGTAGCCCCTGCTCTGCCCTGCAGTGTCACAGGAGGTGCCTGGCCCCCAGGCAGCTTCTGTCCTGTGTTTGTTCCCCCAGGAGGGGAGCAGTGGGCACCCTGTGAGTGTGTGTGAACCGAGACCATGTCCGTGGAGCAGCAGAGGAGGGGAGCTGTGCTGGGCTGTGGGGCAGGGGAAGTTGAGGAGGTGTTTCCCAGTGGCTGCAGGATGGTTGATGGGAAGCAGATGGGCTCGGGTGCCCCTTCAGTAGACCCAGGAGACAGGCACCCACTGTGGAGAGCTGCAGGCCTGCTCAAAGGCTTCCTGCAGCAGCTGGAGGCTCTCTTCCACATCGTTGTTGACCAGGGACAGATCGAAGTAGTGTGCGTACCGGCTCCGGATGCTCTCCGAGTCCTTGCGGAGCTGCTGCAGAGCCTCTGACTGCAAGGGATAGGACAGTGCTCAGGAGAGGAGCTTCACAGCACACCCCAAAGGGAAACGCCCTCCCAACACCAAAACTCCAGTGGTTGTGAAGAATCAGAGCACAGAGAATCCTTAGAGCTTGTCGGGTGGGTCAGGAGCTGTTGTGTCATCTCTGGGCTTGTGTCCGGGGCTTTTGCTGGACTTCATGTGGTGCTGGGAGCATCAGGTTACCTGCCAGAGTGAGGCCACCTTTAAAATGCTCTGTGGCAGCTCCCAGCGAGAAGGTTCACAAGCAGCAGGCTGCTCAGTGCTCTGGTGGGCATTCACCAGCTCCAGGCCTCAGAGGTTGGAGGTGGGATCCCTGCAGAATGCTCACTTCCCCACTGGCTTTTGACCAGAACAGCACCAGTTGGCAGAGCTTTACCAGCCTCTCCACTGGTTTTAGTGCTGTACCTCGATAGTAAAAGCCAAGCTGCCACTTCCCTCCTGCCAGTGTGGCTGGCCTGCCCAGCTTGTGGGGGCATCCAAGGAGTGCAGCTCTGCCTCTAGCAATGAGGTCCAGACTGTTTCCACATATTTCCTAATGGAGCTTGAACGACAGGCAGCTTCTGTGCCTGGGCAGGAGGGACAGCTTGGGGTGCAGTGCTTGGCTGAGCTCTGCTCTGAGCAGATATTAATAGACCTAAGCAGTCTATTATTATATCTATATCTAATTATATCTATTATATAATTATATCTATTATCAATAGATGAAATAGACCTAAAAATACATTAACAGACCCAAATCAGACCAGTCGCTTTTTTGTTAGACCACCTGGGTATATATCACAACAGTGATACCTTTCGTGGTCAGCAGTAAAAACGTGTCACAGGTGGCACAGTAATATTAGTAACACCACACCCTCCCTTCAGGGCACAGCAGGCTTCTGTCTTTAAGGTGTTCAGTTCAGCAGTGACAAAATTTAAATATAATTATTACTGCAGGGGCAAAAGAAAAAAAGATAATGCTTAGCTGCCTTCATCTTGAAAGAGTTACTGGAAATATTCATCTCTTCTTAAAAAATTAATTTTTCCTACATTGTGGATGAAGCCAGCAGCTGTCGGGAGTGGGGAGGGAGGGCATGCAGCAGTTTTTGTTCCTGTGAGCTCTGCGGGGTCACATTAACTCTGCTGCATCCCTCCCCTCAGAGCTGCAGGGTTATATTTAGTGCCTGGCAGCAGTGCTGGCCCTGCCCACTGCAGCAGGATGTTATTCCTCTCTGGAAGGAGGCAGCGGTGGGTGACAGTGGCCCTTTCTGTTCTGAGATCTGTCCCCTTCCCCCTGCCCCAGCCTGCTGCATCAGGCAGTTAATGTGTCTCTAAATACCTGCACAACACTTGCTCTGAAGGTGGCATAAATATGCTCTCTGCAAACTATCTGCAGCTTAAGCTTTACAAACACAAAGTTAATAGGTTGGAGGAGATGGCCGTGTTGCCATTGAATCCAGGAGGAGCACAGCTCTGCGTTTTCTTGTTGGCCTCTGTCTTCCCATCTCCCTGCCAGGCCGGGGTGTGGGGCAGGGTAGGCAGCATCCCTGCATCCAGGGGGCTTCCTGGGAAGAGGCAGCCCGTGGCTGCCAGCCTGATGCTTGGCACTGAATGAGTTAACTGCGCTATCAGTGCTGCTTTAATCCTCACGTTAAAGGGATCAGCATCCTAATGAGGCAGAGAATGAAAGGAGCAGTTGTTTGTGTGTCTATTTGCATAACTGATGGTGGGATAAATGCTCCTGCCCCTCTGCTAGGCTGTGCTCCCCACTGCGATTATGCTGCTGGGATGAGGGCTGCCAGAGTTTACAGCTGCAGGAATTGGCAGTTCTGTTTCTCAGCTCTGGGCTGGGTTCTGGACCACCAAAAGCCAAGCAGACGAATATGCTGGTGGGGGGGCCCTGGGTTGCTGCAGCAGGTGCTGCCATGGACCAAGCAGCCCAGCCAGAGGGGGACAGGAGGGGACAACCCTGCCACTCACCTCCTCTGCCTTGTCTGTCGGGGCAATGAAGACTATGAACGGGGAGAGCTCGGCTGTGCGGACGATCTTGAGGGTCTGTGGAGAGAGGGGTGCAGTTAACGGAGTGTGGCCCTTCCCCAGGCTGGGAGCAAGCACAGCATCATGCCTGTGATGAATGGGGGCTGTAAGAGACACCTCTGGGGACATGAGCTCACTGGGTGGATTCCTGGGAAAGGGTCCCTGCACCCATTCCCACAACAGCCAGGCTGTGGCCTTGCTGTCACAGCCAGGTGTATGCTGTGACAGGGAACACCCTCACTGTACCCGTGTCTTGGGAAGGGAAATGCCACCCCAGGGCTTGCTGGCTTTTTCCTTTGGATAGAGAAGGCAGGGCCAGTCACAGCCAGCACCAGGTAATGCAGTCTGTGGTAGCCCCTGACCCCCCACCTCTTCCCCTGCTCCCTACCTGGGGCTCGATGTCCAAAATAGCGACTTTATCCTGCTGGTGGATCTTGTGCACTGTTTCAAACTTAGTGCCAAACATGTTTCCCTGGTAGCTTCCAAACTCCAGGAACTCATTGGCTGAGATGTCCCGGGTCATCTCCTCGGTGGAGACAAAGTAATAGTCCTTCCCATCCACCTCATTCTTCTTCTGGGGGCGTGTGGTGTCTGGGGAGGGAGAGAGAGGGTGAGTGCCCACCCCCAGAGGAGAGGGGAACAGTGGAGCAGGCATCAAGACTAAGCTGTACTAATCCCCTGCTAACTGCTTCGGACAAGTAGGGACCTCAGCCAGCTGGGGACAGGCACTGGATGGAAAGGGTGAGGTGTCTGTGTGTGGGTGCCTCTGTGTCTGAAGGTGGGTCCATGTGGGACTGCAGGCAGGGAGGCCTTGCATGTGGGGACTTCTGACTTCAGGGGCAGGGAGGAGCATCTCCCCACCTCCCACTTGCTGTCAGAAGGTGCTGGATCAAAGAGGTGAGAGGAAATGCAGCCTGTGTTTGGTACTTACATGGGGGTGGGTACATGAACTTCTCTGGGTTGTTGCTGAGCAGAGCATTCTTGATGTGGCTGCGGCCCACACCACTGGCCCCTGGAGAGAGAGAGATGGACACTAGAGCTGGGCTCAGAGCAGCCTGGTGGGAGACGCTGGGGATGTGTTT